CACAGAGAAACTTTCGCACGCAGAAGCCTGTACACAGAGCAGCTTTTACACAAAGATTCTTTTTGCACCGAGGAGTTTTTACACACAAACGCTTTTACGGACAGAAGCTTTTACACAGGAAAGCTTTTATGCACAGAAGTTTTCATACATAGACGCCCTTACACGCAGAAGCTTTTATTATACAGAATAGTTTTTACGCACAGACGCTTTTACAGGCAGATGCTTGTAGACACAGAGGCTGTTACATTGTAGACACAGAGGCTCTTACTTACAAACAAAGGTTTTAACACACAAAATTTGTTTTACACAGAGAACCGTTTACACAGAGCAGTTTTAAAGTGTTTCCGCACAGAGGCCTTTACACACAGAAGCCTTTAAACACAGAAGAAGTTTTTACGCACAGGAGCTTTTACACACACAGAAGCTTTTACACATACGCGCCTTTACACACAGAAGCTTTTACACACAGGGGCTTTGACAAAGAGGCTTTTCGACAGAGAAGCTGTTACACAGAGCAGCCTTTACACAGAGCAGCTTTTACACGGGAGCCTTTGTACAGAGCAACCTTTACACACCAATGCTTTTACAAACAGGAACTTTTACACGCAGACGCCTTTACGCAAAGAATATTTTACACAGAAGCTTCTACAGACGGATGCTTCTACACACAAACGCTCTTACACACTGGGCTTTAGACTCAGCAGCTCTTGCACAGAAAAGCTCTTACATACAAATTTATCACACACACAGAAATAAAGCTTTTACACAGCGAAGCTCTTGCACAGAAAAGCTTTCACACAGCAAACCTTTTTTCACCGACAAGTTTTTACACCCTGCAGCTTATACACACAGGAACTTTTACATGCAGGAGCTTTTACACAGACGCCTTTACACAAAGAAGCTTTTACACACAGAAACTTCCACATGCAGAAGCCTTTAGACAGAGCAGCTTTCACGCACAGAAGCTTTTACACACAGAAGCCTTTACGCACAGAAGCTTGTACACCCAGCGGCTTTTACACACCGAAGCTTTTACAAAGGGAAGCTTTTACACAGAGAACCTTTCAACAGAGCAGCTCTTACACGCTTCAAATTCCCAACCCGCCTCTTCTCCCGACCCATTTCCGCCCATTCTCTTGCATCCACACTGGGCCCTTCTCCATGGCACCCATTTCCATCCGTGCCCTTGCCCCCGCAGCGACCGTGCACGTCCGCGCATCCACCCTCGCTCATGCCCACTGCAACATGGCCCTTCTCCCCACCCATTTCCATCCGTATCCTTGCACCCTTCTCCCCACGCATTTCCACCCTTTCCCTTGCACCCGCACCGCCCGCACATCCGTGCATCCACGCTGGCTCAAGCCCACCTTGCGCCCAAGCCGTCCGCGCACGTCCCCCATTTCAATCTTTTCCATCCCTTCCCTGGCATGCACCGACGCCGTCCGCACACGGCCGCGCAACTGAGCTCGCGCCCCGCGCAGTTAGCACACTAAACGAGAACCCAAGCATCGAAGATGCTTCTGGGGAAAAACCGCCGGCCTGCCGGCGTGTTTTGTGGATGTTCTGGTAGCTTTCACCTATGGATTGCTTCTGCGCGGATTTTTGCTTTACTTCATTGCTCCGGCTGGGTACAGCCTTTCGGTTGAGGCTTGGTACACCTTCGGTTGAGTCCCTGTTCGACAGTATCTCCTGGCTTAGCTTGTGTTATAACTTTAATTTCTTCGTCAGCTTCTTCTAAAAATGGCTCCCTAGCTTTAACTTGTTCTGGTTTGAGATTGAATTATAGTTCCAGCTAAAGTTAAAATTTGATCCTGTTCAGTTTTAATTCGAGTTCTAGTCCTGGCTACAGCAGGACCTTGCTCTTATTCAAGCTTTAGATTTTAGCCTAGCCCTAGCTCCAGCAATGGCTTGATCTTGTTCTAGCTTGAAGTTGAAATCTAGTTCTAGCTCTAGCTATGGCTTTAGGTTGAGACTTACTTGTCCAAGGAAGTTGGGAAGCAATCTTCCAAGTTACGGACGACTTTTACCTGCAACAATACACTCAATGAAGGGTGGTGTGAGACTGTGGTGTGAGACTTGACATCACATAACAAAACACTCAATGAAGGGTGGTGTGAGACTGTGGTGTGAGACTTGACACCACATAAAATTACATTCGTGTAATGGCTGTATGATTGTTGTCATCTGGTGTTGCCATGTGCGAAGAGAGATGCAGGCCCGCTACGGGATGCTGCGAATAGTATTGTAATGGCCGCATGAATGTTGCATGGGCTTTGTTTTGGGGAGGAAGCCGGAGAACGAAACCTTGTATTTTTCCGTGTAAAGTGGCTGCAGCCGGCGATGAAAGGTACCTCGTGTGTGCGGCGGTTGCGGCTGCGGTCGTTCCGGGCGTAATGGGTTCCTCCTCTGTGTTCTGCCACGAGTGGTTGTTCTTGTGTGCGTACTTCTATTCTTTTCTTGAATCTGTGGTTGCAGATCGCATTGGAGAGGCTGCATGATTGTTGTCATCTTGTGTTGCCATGTGCGTAGAGAGATGCAGGTTTGCGACGAGATGCTGCGAAACTTATTGTAATGGCTTCATGCATGTTGCATGGGCTGTGTTTTGGGGAGGAAGCCGGAGCACGAAACCTTGTATTTTTCCGTGTAAAGTGGCTGCAGCCAGCGATGAAAGGTACCTCGTGTGTGCGGCGGTTGCGGCTGCGGTCGTTCCGGGCGTAATGGGTTCCTCCTCTGTGTTCTGCCACGAGTGGTTGTTCCTGTGTGCGTAGTTCTATTCTTTTCTTGAATCTGTGGTTGCAGATCGCATTGGAGTGGCTGCATGATTGTTGTAATCCGGTGTTGCCACGTGCGTAGAGAGACGCAGGTTTGCTACAGGATGCTGCGAAATGTATTGTAATGGCTGCATGTATGTTGCATGGGCTTTGTTTTGGGGGGAAGCCGGAGCACGAAACCTTGTATTTTTCCGTGTGAAGTGGCTGCAGCCGGCGATGAAAGGTACCTCGTGTGTGCGGCGGTTGCGGCTGCGGTCGTTCCGGGCGTAATGGGTTCCTCCTCTGTGTTCTGCCACGAGTGGTTGTTCCTGTGTGCGTACTTCTATTCTTTTCTTGAATCTGTGGTTGCAGATCGCATAGGAGTGGTTGCGTGAAGGTTGCTTGGTGCCGCGGCTGCATGCGTAATACTAGTGTCTTTTGCAGCTTGATCTCGTAAATAGTATTGGAGTGGCTGTAGGAAAGCTGCGACAATGATTTGTCAGCAGATTTTCTCAATTTTTGCTCTAGCAATTTTCCTTGTAAAATTCCTTTCAAAAAGTGCTTCAAAATCTTCTTTTTTTCGCTTTGGCGTCGAGATCCGGTTGTGGAGCTGCAATTTCCGACGCCGTTGCGCGTAGTTCTTCTGTGTTTCGCAAGTCAGTGTCTGCAGATCGCATTGTAGTGGCTGCGTCAAGGTTCTCCTTGCAATGATTTTTGTGTGCAAGAGACTTCTCTGTGGCAGTAAAAGCTTTGTGACATGCAGAAGAGCTAAGATGAATTGAGAGGAGCTTCGATGAGATGAGCAAGGTTGAACAGTGCTCAAGTTGAGCAGTTGAGAAGAACTTAGATGACATATGAGAAGAGATGAGATGAGATGAGATGAGACGAGAAGAGCTGAGATGAGGTGAGGAGAGCTCAGATGAGATGAGATGAAGTGTGGAGTGCGAAGTGTAAGTGCGAAGTGTGAAGTGTGAAGAGTGTAGTGTGAAGTGTGGAGTTTCAAGCCCGACCTTTGGGACAGTGCATCACCGTCGCACAAAGCACGCGCGCACGAGCCTGGCTGGCGCACGGCGCATGCAAGTTCTATAGATGAGAAAAGTCTTATAATATATCCCTAAGGCAACTTCCGCCCCGCCTCGTGCGGGTACTACTGGTACCTATAGCTATAGGTTTAGGTTGAGATCCAGTTGTAGCTATTGCTATAGCTTTAGGTGCTGCTTGTACCTATAGCTTTAGGTTTAGGTTAAGATCCAGTTGTAGCTTTTGCTATAGCTACACCTGAAATCGTCATCGCTTCGACGGATTTTTTCTTCGGCTGCCCTTACCCCCTTCCTTTCCCCCCGTCCCCCATATCTAGTATAGTCTAGTCTAGTTTCGTCTGGTCTACTGGTCTAGTTTCGTCTCTTGTCGCAAGCGAAGTAGCACTCACCTTATTTACATCATCACATCATCCTCGTCTCGGTGGTCATCGTCCTCGTCCTCGTCCTCGTCCTCCTCCTCCTCCTCCTCATCGTCATGAGCCTCATTATCAGCATCAGCATCCTCCTCCTCCTCCTCATCATCATCATCATCATCAAAAACCCAACCTTTTACACCAAACAGCTTTACACAAGCCCTGCTTTGGGCCTGTAGGCCAAAGGCCAGAGGGCCGGCGGAATGCCGAAGGCTTTTAAATATGTCAGAAATTACGTCAGAAGTCATGTCAGAATATATGCCAGAATATACATGTCAGGTTACATGTTAGAGTACATGTCAGGAACAATACCGGGCTTTTTTCTGTATATGCGAGATTTGGTGCTTGATATATGCCAGGACCGTCGGAATTAAATCTCAGGATCCAACCCTGTAGTTATCGGAGTTTCTGTCGAAGCACGCGTCAGGATACAAACGTGCTAGCATTCTTGTCAGAACGTTTTGTTACAATGAGGATCGCACAAACAAGAAAAATCCTTGAATCCAACTGAACACTTAAACAAACAAATAGTAGTTTCTTTCTGAAAAACAAATCACCACCTTTATCAGTCTAATGGTTTCTTAAAGATTACGACCCAACCTTCCATTCAAGAGTCTTTAAGATCAGCGAGTGAAGATCCCACTTGATGATCAATTAAGTATAGCAAACCCACCCAAAAAAAGATAGAAGAGGTGAAATCAAGTGAAATCCATTTCAGAAAACCAACTCTATTTTACCTTGGCACTTTATAAATGGGAATTGCAGCTGGTTCCGACCCGTTCCTCCCGAAGTGGCACCTCCAGGCCCTCCTTCAAAAGCCGCTGCACGCAATCCCAGGGCAAAGCGGTGCAATGGCCAGCTGCACAGTGCAGCAAGCCAACCCCGGCCCATTTTACGTGGGGATCCGCTTCATAGTCCTGTGGGAAGGGTGAGTTTTTGGGGGTGTAGGGGGTGGTCCCGTAAATGTTGCTCAAAGCAGGAAAAGGAGCTCCTCATATGTTTTTTCCCAAACAAATATGGATGTTTCCTAAGTCATGGTGGTACCCCCAAATCACCCATTTTAAAATGATTTTCCATGAAATAAACCACCCAGTTCGGGGTACCCCCAAATTTTAGGAAACCTCCATATAGAACCACATGTAAAGGAACTGACTGGTGGACCAACGGTAGGTTCAAATGGATGGGACTGGACCCACTTACACCATAAGTCCGACATCCCATTGGGCCCTGACAATGGAGATCCATACATACTGGGGAGATGTTGCTGTTATACTGGTAGGTCTATCCGTGACTTGAATGGAAAATTGCAATCAGAACCGCAACAATTACATGTTTTCTTGTAAATTGTCCCTCATATATTATACAAACCATTGTAACCCTATATTCTGGAGAAACCCATAAATATCTCACTTGTCATTCTCTCATATTCTCTCAATATTGCCCTTTCATCACATCATTTTCATGGATTTGCATGAAAACATATATATTATATAATTATATCCCATAATGTATCCTCATGAAATATCCCGCAAGAAACTATCCCATTGATATTGTCATTGCTGGTACATCAAGATATCCTTGGGATTCCCATCTGCCCATTTTTCGTCCAGCAGTGGATGGATGATTTCCGGATGATCGCAGCCCACGGCGACGAAGATGGACGTCATGGAATATTGGTCCCGCACGTTGGGATCGGCCTCCATTCTTAACAAGGTCCTGTGGAGGGAGAGGGGGCATCCAAGACGGAGTGAGAGTTGAGATATAATCTCTGAGTATAGCTAAGTTGATGTTCAACTTCAGTGGTTTATGCTAGATGTATCCAACTAGTGAATGTGGTCAACCAGTTTACAACTGGGGACACCTTATATGATATAATCACAAGCACCAATATAATCATGGTATATCATGGTCATGTGATAGATATTATAGTTATGGAAATACATATTGTCGGGACTTGTGTTAAGAAACCCGTGTAAAACAAGAAATTATTCAGACTCTCGAGGCCCAGGAGTCAGTTACTGAGAGTCTGGTTTTGGATAAACTTGCAAGTTTTGTTTTACCAATTCAAATTGTGTATTATGATTTATGTGTCCTATTGGAATTTATGATATTTATATAGTGAAAACATATTGCATAAATCAATCAATACCCCTTGGGGGAGCCTTTCTAATCTTGGGACATTTATTTCGGAATGTTCATGCCCACACTTCACCAAATACATCCAAATACTGGGAGTAAGACACCTGAGACTTAGTCTCAAAACCTGGACATCATCACATCACTGTTTAAGTTTTCAGACTCTCACCATTTTTTGACCTTGTTTCTTAAAATAAGTCTTTGCCGTAGGGATATTTCCGGACATTGGACATTACTGGGCTGACCAAGGCTACAACGCCTTGTAGTGCGTTCAGAGCTGTAGAGGTTTTAAACGAACTTGCCGACTTCATATTAAAACATCATAGAACCATGGTCGAAGGAATTTTAGAAGTCAAATTTCCGACAATATGGACAGATGAAAAGCAGAGTAGGGCAGAGGCAGAGGGAAGAGAAAGATTAGAAAGAGAAGACCAGAGAAGAGAAAGAGTCAGAAGAAAGAAGATGCAGATGCGCGAAAAGGTAGGAAAGTCGCGAAACACTATGTTTTTCCAATGATTTGAGGCTCCGGAGGGTCGAAAAGTAGGCTCGCTAAAGCGGCGGGTGCGGAGCCAGCTGGCCAGATGAGAGATGAAAAATTGCACGCCGTTGTGGCGCGAAGCACATTTCGAAGTCAAAAGGTACAAAACACCTGGGTCTCGGAACACTTTTGGAAGTTGAGATGTCGAAAAAGTGCACGCCGTTGTGGCGCGAAGCACTTTTCGAAGTGAAAATGTACAAAACACCTCAGTGTTGGACCACTTTTGGAAGTTGAGATGTCGAAAAAGTGCACGCCGTTGTGGCGCGAAGCACATTTCGAAGTCAAAATGTTAAAAACACCAGGGGTTCGGACCACTTTTGAAGGTTCAGATGTCGCTTCGCTTCGCTTCACTACAATACACTACATTACACTACACTACACTCCACTACACTACATTACACTACACTACACTCCACAACACTACAACTATAACTACACTCCACTACACTCCACTACACTCCACTACACTCCACTACACTCCACTACACTCCACTACACTAAATTACACTACACTACACTACATTACACTACACTACACTGCACTACCTTCCACTACACTTCACTACATTACACTACACTACACTCCACTACACTACAACTACAACTACGCAACTACACTCCACTACACTCCGCTACACTAAAGTACACTACACTACACTACACTACATTACACAGCACTACACTCCACTACACTACATTACACTACACTACAATCCACAACACTACAACCAGAACTACACAACTACACCCCACTACACTCCACTACATTAAATTACACTACACTACACTACATTACACTACACTACACTCCACTACGCTACACTACTCTACACTACACTACACTACCTTCCACTACACTACACTACATTACACTCCACAACACTACAACTACAACTACAGAACTACACTCCACTACACTCCACTACACTACACTACATTACACTACACTCCACTACATTACACTACACTACCTTCCACTACACTTCACTACATTACACTACACTACACTCCACTACGCTACAACTACACCTACGACTACACAACTACACTCCACTACACTACATTCCACTACACTCCAATACACTATACTACATTACACTACACAACATTACACTGAATGACACTGCACCACAGATAGGACAGGTAGACAGATAGACAGATAGATAGATAGACAGATAGACAGGTAGACAGCTAGACAGATAGACAGATGAAAGAGAGAGAGAGAGAGAGATAGATAGATAGATCGATAGATAGATAGACAGACAGATAGATAGTTAATTAGATGAAAGAAAGAGAGAGAGAGATAGATAGATCGATAGATAGATAGATACATAGAAGATAGATAGGTAGGTAGGTAGGTAGATAGTTAGAGAAAGGGAGAGAAAGAGAGGAGACCTCAAGCACCTTTCGGTCCATCAGTGGATTCGCTCTGCCATCCCGGATTCACAACAACCAATCTCTCCTATAGGTTTCCTATTTTTGAAACTTCCGCCACCGCCTTGTGCGGTACTACTGGTATAATCAATGCAATCAATAGTGCCAATAATAATCAAATGGTTGATAGATAATATAGATATACATATAATAATATTATATAATTACTACTGATATCAAACGAATTGTAGCCTGGTTTACCATCCCATGATTTTTTACTAACAATAGATGTGGAAAACCCACCACATCTCCACATGGAGCAGGGCCCCAGGGTCATCAGACGCTAATCAGACGCTCCAGCTGTAACACAAACTTAGCTTGCGAACTGTCAATGGATTGGTTTAAGGGAAATGTTACTGGTTTAAGCGCCACATTTAATGGGAAAATCGATGGTTTCCGGTTAAGAATTTCCCCAAAAAAACAATCCATTGAAACTGGGCCAACGGCTTATAGTACTATACTATAATAGCACTAATATTTTCATATCATTCTTAACTGGTTAGAGGTTTCAACCATCTTGAAAAATATTAGTCAATGGGAAGGATTATCCCATATATTATGGAAAATAAAAAATGTTTGAAACCACCAACCAGTTAATATTGTAATACTATAATAGTTTCCTTATAGTACTAATATTATCGTACAAGAATTGGTGCCAACAATGACCGACAGAGGTTGAGCGTGGTGCCAAAAAATGACCAGATGTTGATAGTCCATGACTGTCGGTATTGATACATGTAATCGAAACTGGATTGATGCTTGTCAAATAGATGTCCATACCATACAATGAAACAAGAGTAAGCAAGTAACCAGGACCAAAACAATCTTGAAGCAGGGCTACCCCAGGTACGGGCAGATCGTGGCAGATCCATGAATTTCGCCTGCAACTTTGCTGATTGCCCATTTGGCAGCTGATCATCAGCGGAGTAATGCCATCCGAATCTTCTTCATCCACCTCAACGTCACGTGCAACGGGTGCCGAAGCGATCTGAAGAATTGGGTGGTTTACCATGGTTCACCCACAGCAATGAGAGAACGCATGCCAAAATAATGATCTTGACATATCTTGACCAACAATTTCACCATAAGATACCAGATATTTCTATTTACGGTTGGAGCTAGCAATGGCAAGGTCTAATCGTTTGAGGAGCTGATTCGCGATGATAGCGGCTACACCTCCCTAAAACTGTCTGTTTCAAATCCGTGGAAATATTAAAGGAAAGCTCAACGCAAAAAAAAAAAACTCCAAATTCGCCAAAAAGGAACTGAATTTCACCATTCACAGCCTCAAAAAAAACAAAAATATCGGGGACGTGCTGCCCTGGCCTGTGCGCGATGCTGCAGTAGGCATTTTGCCACTGAGACATCACCAGAAAAGGCGGCCCAAACCTTAGTCGATGGTGGGTCAAACTGCTGACATACAAAAATCAGATTTCGCCAGCAAGTTTTCACCATCCAAAAATGGTGTGGGACATTGATCAGCATGGAAAAAAACGATTCTCATTAGGTGCTTGGACAGATCACCTCCCAGTGATCGTCCCGGTGGGAAGTCCTATTTTTTTGATGTGTTGCATAATTCAACTACCCACAACGAGGCGATTTTTTTGACGTTTAAAGAATGGAACGTAACGATGGTGATGCGCTTGCGGCAAAACTGGGACGTGAACCGACCAAGACAATCCAGCAGGCTCTGTTACTAATGAAAGCAGGGATTTTACCTACAAACATCAAGACTGACTTCCCCTCCAGAAATTAATCAAACATGGCAATGGAAAATCACCATGTTTCTTAGGTAAATCGTTACTTTTCATCATGTTTATCTATTTCCAAAAAGGCCATCTACACCATAGCAAAGTGTCATCAAACAACCAGAGGGTAACACTTGGGGCATTGGCCGCCGGAACGATATGGATCTCAGCACGCGACGTGGAGCGGAGTTTGCCCGCTTGGGAGGAAGAAATCCACATCCTTCGGCAGCTGGGCTGCACTGGCGAAGACAATTTAGGCCCCATAAAAGGCCCCATGGCAACGCGGCTTGAGGTCCCCGAAAACAATCCTAACATCAAAATGCCCCGAAATCTGGCAGGTGGATAAAACCATCCCCATATGGATATCGGAGAGGCATTTCAGGTCCAAAAGACAAGGGATTTGGGACTTGTTTGGGTGCCCCACTTGCAGATCCAGACTTGATGTCGAGAAAACATCCGTAAACTCAGGTATTTTCACCACTACCACACTGTGGCGTGACATCCGGGCCTTAACCTTTGTTCTTGCCTTGACATCTGCGTTGGCCTGTGCCAGGCGTTCCCCTTTCTTTTCTGATTACGGATGTGTGTTGTCTTTGCGAAACAATTCACATGATGTTCTTGAAAAGTATCAAATCCCATTGTCTATCAACATGTTTTGTTGTTCGGAATCCCCATACCCACCGGTATTCTCCATTTCTTACAAATGCTGGTATAGATTAGTATAGTATATAAACAGTGTACATCTATCAGTATGTTTTTGTAGATTCCTTTTTTGTGTCATGTTACACGCCTGAGACCAATAACAATGGGGTGACGTAGCCCAGTTGTTGATCCTCCTTTCCAAGATCCAGTTGTAAATGTGAGAAACCAGTTGGACGACTTGTTACAGTAATCAGGGTTATGAACAACTGGGCTTAGATGGTCCAGAAGGGGTGCATAACTTAATCAACAAGTTATTAATCAGGTTTTCATGTATGATGGTCCTCCAACTAGAGCCACTTAGAGCCCATGTCTAGATAAATTTTCAATCATCGGGGACTTCCGATCCTAGCGCGGCAAACCCGAAACCCTAAACCATTCTCTACTACCGCATAGTTAAACAATTTGGGGTTATGATATGTTATGATAAACCAGGGCCTAAAAAATGCAATGGGTTTACCACATGCAAAATAGGAATATTACTGCATCCATTTTCAGCCCCAAGCCTCGGACCGAATTCTGGAAGATGTCTATTCATGACAAAACTATTCCCCCCATCTTTCCCATCTTTTTTTGAGGTTCCCTACGTTTCAGAGGTTTGATGGTGATTTACTTTTCCATCTATTTTGGGATTACTATACCTATCACCATCCCCAACTGGATGGCTAGTTGCTGACCTTTTAAGTTCAGAGGTAGGTTTCACCACGGCACGTTTCACCCTCCGTTTCTATGCTAAGAACTCGCTCCGCCTTGAGCAAAGTTCGCACCAACTCGACGTCATCCAGCGCAGCGGCGTAGTGCAAACTGGTCCAAAATTCTCCGCCGCTGGGAAGCTTCTCCTGGACCAAACCCAGGGGAATCTGCGGAAACCCAGGCCTCAGCCATCCCTTTTAAATATATATATATATAGAGAGAGAGAGATAGAATAGAATAGAATAGAATAGAATAGAATAGAATAGAATAGAAATGAAATAGAATTAGAATTAGAATTAGAATTAGAATTAGAATTAGAATTAGAATTAGAATAGAATAGAATAGAATAGACTAGAATTAGAAGAGAAGAGAAGAGAAGAGAAGGGAAGAGAATAGAATAGAATAGATAGATAGATAGATGTGTATATATATAAATATATACCAGTAGTACCGCACAAGGCGGTGGCGGAAGTTTCAAAAATAGGAAACCTATAGTACTATAGGAGAGGTTGGTTGTTGTGAATCAGGGATGGCAAAGCGAAGCCACTGATGGACCGAAAGGTGCTTGATCTCTCTCTCTCTCTACCTACCTACCTATCTATCTAGCTGTCTAGTTTTCTAGCTATTCGTCTATCTATCCATCTATCCATCTATCTATCTATCTATCCTACGATTCATATATCAATCGTCTACCTAGCTATTTATCTAGCATCATCTTTCTTTCTCACTATCATCTACCAATCTATTTATTAATCTATCATCTATCTGCTATGTAACTATCAATCTATCTATCTCTCTCTTTCATTCTAATTACATAGGGATCTATCTATCATACAGATCTATCTATCTATCTATTTATTTATATGTTATGTTGTCTATTATCTGTCTATATGTCTATGATCTATCTATTGTCTATTCTGTCTTGTATCTATCTATTCGATTCTATCTATCGATCGATCTATCTCTTCTTTAACTAATTACCTATCTATCATCTATCTATCTATCTATCTACTATTTTTTTCTGTCTATGGCTATCTATCTGTTACCCGTCGATCTCCTCTATCTATCTAACTATCTGTCTACCTATCTATCTATCTTTCTATCTATCTATCTGTCTGTCTAGCCATCTATCTATATCTATCTATCTCTCCGACTATCTATCGATAAAACCGTCTCTCTATCTATCTGTCTGTCTGTCTATCTGTCTATCTGTCTATCTGTCTATCTGTCTATCTGTCTATCTATCTATCTATCTATCTGTCGATGTACCTATCTATCTATCTATTTATCTATCTATCTCGGTATCTCACTATCTCTCTATGTGTCTTTGTATCTATCTGTCTATCTATCTATTTACCTATCTATCTGTCTATCCATCTATCTATTTATGTAGCTGTCTATCTATCTATTTGTCTATCTGTCTATCTGTCCATCTATCTATCTACCTATCTATCTATCTATCTGTCTATCTGTCTACCTGTCTATCTGTCTATCTGTCTATCTGTCTATCTGTCTCTCTGTCTATCTGTCTATCTGTCTATCTGTCTACCTGTCTATCTGTCCAACTATCTCTCTATCTATCTGTCTATCTCTCCAACTATCTATC